GTCAGCCTTCCTGCTCCTATGATGCTGCTTGGCCTGCTGTGTTCATCCAGCTCTACACCTTGTTATCTCAGATTCTCCAGCATCTGCAGTTCCTACTATCTCTGTTATTTACATGCCTTGGTTTGCTGGGGTGGTTGGTATTACTTCTAGTTTTGTTTCTCAGTGGTTTGTACACAGGGTCTAATTCAATGTGTTTGCTGATGGAGTTCCGGTTGGAGTACCAGGCCTCCAGGAATTCCCTGGTGTGTCTCTTTTTGGCTTGTGCGGTTACAGATGTGTTGTCCCTACCTACCAACAGATGGCGATAGATCCGACACCACAGTTAGGAAACTGGATTACAACAACCCTGAAGAAATTACACAACTCAGGAGACATCAGCAAGACACACTACCAAGAAATGAAGCCAGAGGGATCCAACACACCACAACTCTACAGCGTCCCCAAGGGACACAAACCAGGGGGTCCCCCTCAGACCCACTTGTCTCACTGCCAGTTACACCAACATATAGACTTGCCAAAGAACTACAACAGAAATTGAAATACATGACCCACTCCATCCACTCATCCCAAGAATTCCTCAACATCATCAAGGACACCACGATAGAAGAGGACGAGACAATGCTATCCTTTGACGTAACAGCACTATTTACATCTATAAACATCGGCCTAGCCAAAGAAACAATTGCCACACTGTTGGATGAACCAAGTAAGCAGGCAACCCAGGACACCAACAACATTAATAAGGACACCACCATGAAACTACCGGATCTGCTTCACAACCCACTTCACCTTCAACGACAGCATATAAAACCGAATCAATGGAACACCAATGGGATCCCCAATATCAGGACTGGTTGCAGAAGCAGTAATGCAAAGGTTAGAACGGACCGTGTTCCCCACTATACAACCCAAACTTTGGGTCCAATATGTAGATGACACCTTCGTGATTATTAAACACACAAAACTGGAAGAAACCCACCAACACTTAAACAACATCCTTACCGGGATAAAATTCACAAAAGAAGAACAACAACAACTACCCTTCCCGGACATAATGGTAGAACGCAAAAACAACGGGGAATCCAGACTAATGTATATAGAAAGACTACACATACAGACCAGATAATCAATTACACTAGCAACCACCCCAACGGAGTCTTCAAAAGAAATGGATACCCAAAAAGCACAAACCACCGTTACTTTTGAGACAGACCACAACAGGAAGACAACACAACCAGACTCACTACTCACCCTACCATACATCAAGGGTATTTCAGAGATGATCACAAGACTACTCAGGCCCCTAGGTATCAGATTAGCCCACAAACCAACAACCACCCTACAACAGCTACTGATGAACGTAAAGGATCCCATATCCAAAACCAGCAAAACTGGGGTAATATACAAAATACCATGCAAGGACTGTGAGAAACACTACATACGCTAAACTGGAAGAAAGTTGACAATACGGATACATGAACACCAACTAGCCACCAAGAGACACGACCAATTCTCACTTGTATCATACACAAGGACAACGAGGTACATGAATTATTCTGGGAGGCCTGGTATTCCAACCAGAACTCCATCAACAAAAACACTGAATTACACCCTGTGTACAAACCACTGAGAAACAAAACTGGAAGTAATACCAACCATCCCAGCAAACCGAGGCATATAAACAACAAGTGGGGACAGAACACTGATCCTTCACCAGAGGTGCACTGATTATGTTATCTAGCAGGGTGATGAAACGCTTGCAACTAAACCCACCGGATCGGTGAGCAAGTCTTTAACCTCATCCACAATCTGAGCTACAAATCTTCTCAAAAACTTGACAAATATTTGTATTCATGCTTCACAAAATTTCACAACTTATCATATGATCTTAATACCTTCAGCTTTATTTTTAGAAAAGCAAACCAAACACTATTCATGCACTAGGATCCAGAACAATCTTAGGAGCAGAAAAAGGCCATTAAGCTCAATATAAAGCAGCCCCATTCAGGGAACTTCACTGTACTTCTCAATCCCTGCTCTCCAGTTGCAAAACTCTGTGCCATTTGGAGTTCCATTTCAGGACTTGACAAATCAACTTAGGTTGTCACTTCAGTGCACTTCTCAGGCAGTATTGCATCCTTTGGAAGAAATGGTAAACCATAGCTCACTTCCTCGATTCCATTAGCTCAGGTGGACTTAAAAAAATCACATACTGGTATTTGAAGAGCATTTGTCTCTCAGATGTGACCATTTTACCTCCCAAACGATGCACTAAATGCAAGTTAACTGCTTATTCATGGCATCCTAAGAATTTGCAAAATTGCTGTCATGTTCGTGTACAACTTCTATATTTCAAATTAATTGTTTGGGAGCACTGTAATATACTTTTCAGAAATGCAATAGAATATTTTAGTACAGTACCTGTAGTTGCTAGTTATAAAATTATGCTCCATCAAAACTTCATAGACTCCCAATACCAGGGCAGCATAGATGTTATTTTTAATGCCAACATTGGACGTTATTGAAAAGTCTGCTGATTTGTCCTAAAAATGGGAAAATAAAAGGCATTTGATAATATTTTGCACAAGAAATTACAGGAAAATTAAAACACACAGAATTGGAAGCATTCTCAAAACATTAGAAAATAAGTTTGGAAATAGGAGATTATGAAATAGAATATGCATTCTCAGACTGGATGGAATGACAATGGTGGTCCCCATCTTTATACATGACCGATATTTAGTAAGATTGCAGTACATTGTGAAGTGGGAAGAGAAATTAGAAATTAATATAAATAAATGTCAGTGGCAGTACAACGTGACAAAGCATAGTGGTGGGGCGGGAAGAAGAGGGGGACAGTCGTAGAGTAGTAAAGATAGAAGTCCAGGACTTTCACACTGTCAGAGAGAAGGAAAGGAGATACAGTTCAAAGTCAGGATGGTGTGAGGAACTTGCAGCTGGTGTTTTCCTTTATATCTGCTGCCATTATCCTTCTAAATGGTAGACAGCATGGGGTTTGAAAGGTGAAGTTGAAGGAACAATGGAGGGTTGTTGCAGTGCATCTTGTAGATGGTACACACTACTGTCATCTACGCATTATTGGTTGAGGGAGTGAATCTTTAAGGTGTTGGATGACGTGCTTGTCAAGCACCTGCTTTGTCCTGGATAATGCTGAACTTCTCAAGTGCTGTTTGAACTGCAGTCACCCAGGCAAGTGGAGAGTATTCCATCACACTCTTGACATGTGACTTTTAGATGGCAGACAGGTTTTGGGGAGTCAGGAGGGGAGTTCCTCACTGCAGAATTCCTAGCCTCAAAAGCAAGCTTGTGCTGTATTGAATAGAAACAATCAAAGGCTAATGAGAGGTACAGAGTTTGAAGAGGCATTGCTATTGCAATGACACAGACAAGATCTCAAATTGAATGTGTTCAGTTTTGGATGTCTCGGCATAGAAAGGTTCAGACCTTGAAGAAAGTACAGTATTGATTTTTGATATTTTAAACAGGAAATCAGGGAATGAGTTATATTGTGAGACTGTCTAAATATAGATAATATTTCCTGGAGGTGATGAGGTTGAGCAGTGTTTGATTAAAATAATTAAAATATTAAGTTGAACTGACAGTGCAAATATGAAACAACTTTTCTCTACTTAAGGAATCCAAACAATCTTAAAATTTGAACTGCACTAAAAGTGAATTCTGCAGCCTTGTTATGCTATACTTTCTAGATGAAATATTAATAAAGTGCTTAAAATAGAAATAGATACTAATTTATAGGTATTTGTCATGTAAAGTACACGTTTTGTAATATGTATTTGGGAAGTAAGGGACATAAAAACAGACAGAATTAATTAGCATTAAAAAGACAGTTGTCAGGTTTAATGATTGAGTCGCCTACTTATGTTCATATATGTGTAGGTGGCATCAACAGGCTGATCATCAGAAGTCACAGCATGAACTGGAAATTTACCAGGGAGTATTTATCTATATGGATAAATGTAAATGGGTCAGATAATGTTTGTTCTGGAAACAGAATGTATTTTTTGAAAAGGAAGCTTTATTAAAAAATGTGTGTAAAAACCATAATAGGGATTCCCTCAATTGCTCCACTGGTAACAGCAATGCATAACAAAGCTGTGCAGATAAACTAACTTCACTGATTTTTTTTTTGTTTCAGTCTGAATCTGACCATATATTCACAAATCCAGACTTGGAACAAATGGAATACGTTGATCCAGATTAAAAAATGCATCCTTTAATTGCTACAATTTGATAGTCCATCAAAATATCTGATCAAAAACAGGCTCAGTAGAAACTGATCTCATATAGGATATAATGGGAAGTTAATGATATTCTACATAATCTAATTGCACATTTCATGCAAGAAATCCAGCCCAAATAACTTTGTTACAAATATTCGAGGTAACAAAATGAACCAAATGAAATGTGAATGTAATGCACTAAAACGTGTAAGAGTTACCAGTTCAAAGTCTTCCAGTTCACTCTTAATCATTCTTCGAGTGATCGAGTCCAGTTGATTTTCCAAGTCATGTTGAAAACTATCTTCTTCATCATCATCATCATTATCATAAATATCACTGTCATGGCGAGTGTCGGGTAAGGACTGTTTACTCCAGGCCAAACAGTTCTGGATACAAGACAGAAGATGTGCCTATACCAAAAGGAAAATATAAGAACTGGTTAACTAGTAGGGGGTCACAGGAACTGAAGCAAATCTTTAAACAAAAATTGAATCAAATTTAAAAACTTCACATCACATTTCTCAGGAAAATACCGAGTAAATGTTTAAAACAGAACTGAAGTCGTACAAAAACAGAAATCACTGGAGAAACTCTGCAAGTCTGGCAGCATTTATGGACAGAAGTTATGTTTCGCGTCCAGTGACCCTTCTTCATTTTTATTTATGAAAAGTAGTGACTGTTTTTCAGACGAACAGGACAGCTAATTTGCTTATAGCAAAGTTTCACGAACTGCAATTAGATGTCAATCAATTAATATTTTTATTAGTGCTCTTTAAGGTAGAAATATCAAAGGACATTCCGTTCTTTTTCAAACAGTTCAATGAGAACTCCTAAATATCTACCTAAGCAACCTCAACATCTGGGTGTTACCGCTGACAAGCAACTGAACTGGCTTAGGTATACAAATACCTTGGCTACAAGGGCAGGGCACAAACTAACAATCCTGCAGCCAGTAACTCATCTTCTGACTCCCTACAGCCTGTTCACCATCTACAAGGCATAAGTCAGATCTGTGCGCAAGCACGATCCTGACCTTCCCATAGCCAGTCATTTTGAATTGATTTGAATATTCTTTACTGTCACGTACATTAATAAAAAGCTGTGAACAATGTGCACTGTTGCTCGTACATAAGCACCATTTACAGAATAAAATTAAGAAAGATAACTTAAAGACAGTCCAACTTTCCTACTTCGCTAATGTGCCACCACCAGAGTCCCACTCCAGGTTTTCCAGCCCACACTATGCCGCAGAGAGCATCCTGCTCCGGGTTACACCAGTCCGTGTCATGCCTCTGTGGGGGGCCTACTCCACATGGAAAACGAAAGCCCCACTCCAGGCCGCACAGGCCAGTCGACTCAGCAGCCGCCTCTGAAAATGCTGCCGCCACTCCAGAGCCCATCGAAGCTGCTTACTGCTGAAGAGCTCTCTTGGCCACCTGCAATATGCGACCTCACTGTTGGTCTGGTTATGTGGCTCTTCTGCTACTCCAGGATGTGGCCCCTTGGCCCTTCCGTTGCTCCAGGGACTCAGCCCCTCCAGGACTTGCTCCAACCCACTGCTCCGGCCCGCTGCAGGAGATGGCCTGTACACTCAGCCCGGTCATGAGAAGTGACTCCTTTCCTTCAGGTTAAATAGTTGAAGTTAAATACGCTAAAAGTTGGAGGGTGGGACACACTGCAAAGGGGAGAGGGAGAGAGAAAGGAAGTAAGCAAAAAAGAAAGGAAAAAGGAACTGGCAAGCAGAGGAGCTCCGACAGAGGAGCAGCGTCTTACCCTGCTGCCACCTTGCCAGAGACGGCAACAGCTCCCTGCTCCCATGCCCACTTGTCTGCCCACTCACTCAGCATGCTGCAGTGCTCCAGTGAATCACAGTGTAAACTGAAAGAACAACATCTCATCTTCAGACTAGGCAATTTAGAGCCTTCTGGACTTAGTTCGACACCTTCAAATTGTGAACCAACTCCCATTTCAACATTCTGCAGACTGCTGCTCACGCCGCATCCTGCAAACCACGATCAATACGCCATCACATGCGCACACTCGACTCCACTCTGCAGCAACATTGATTCACCCTGTCTCAAAGCTGTGCCATTTCTCAATTTCACTTCACCACCAAAAAAGACATTTTCTCTTTCTTTTGGACATCAAGTCGGAGAAGCTACAACAACTTATGGACTCCTAACATCTGTACTGACGACCGTCCCTCCTTTCCAGCCCTTAGATGCCATCACTTTCTGTACCCGCTGCTCCCCCCCCCCCACCCCCCCCCCCCCCCCCGGCCACTGACCCCAACCCCTGACCCTGCTGGGTTTTCACCACACCTCCTGACCTTCCCCTCTCTGAGGCTGAACGTACTGTCCTCAGCAAAGGACTCAGCTTCACACCCTTATGCCCTCACCTTAACAGATTTCAGGCTCGCTGTGATGTTGTACTGTTTTTCCACCCCCTCTGTGCTCACTTCTTCAGTCAGGACTTCCCCCCCGCCCCCCATTCCACTGAACCCTTCACCCGCCTCCAGCATTCACCCTCCAGTTGGACCCCTTCCCCTGGCGTCTTACCTGCCCTCGTTCTCGCCATTGAAAACCGATGATGTGACATCGGCCGTCTCAATTTCTCTGCTCTTCTCCCATACTCTAGACTGTCCCCTTCTGGAATTGCCACATTTCAGTCTCTCAGGTCCAACCTTAACTTTGTTATCAAGCCCAACAACATTGTGTTGGCATAGTCGGGCACACTGATCTTTACCTTGCGGAGGCTCAATGTCAACTCTTAGACACTTCTTCCTACCGCCCCTTGGACTATAACCCACATCAAGCCATTGTTGCCAGGACTGTCACTGACCTCATTACCTCCAGAGATCTTCCCCCCACTGCCTCCAATCTTATAGTCTCCCAAGCCCAGACAGCCCACTTCTGCCTCTTTCCCAAAATCCACAAACCATCACGTCAGCCTGTTCCTGTCCCACCGAGCTCATTTCCTCCTACCTTGACTCCATCCTCTCCGTACGTATCCGGACCCTGCCCACCTACATCTGTGATTCCTCTGACGCTTTCCACCATATTGACAATTTCTAGTTCCCTGGCCCTATCTGCCTCCTGTTCACCAGGGACGTCCAATCCCTCTATACCTCCATTCCCCACCAGGATGCTCTGACAGTTCTCGGCTTCTTCCGCTTGATCAGAGGGCTGAACACTCCCCATCTACCACTGCTCTCCTCCACCTGGCTGAACTTGTTCTCTCACTGAAAAGTTTCTCCTTTAATTCATCTCACTTCTGCCAAGTCAAAGGAGTGGTTATGGGCACCTGCATGGTTCCCAGTTATGCCTGCCTCTTTATGGGGTATGTAGAACGGTCCTTGTTGCAGTCCGACACTGGTCCCCTCCCATTACTCTTTTCTCAGTACATCGATGACTACTTTGGTGCCGCTTCATGCTCCCACCAGAACCTTGAAATATTTGTTCATTTTGCCTCCAATTTCCACTCCTCTATAACTTTCACATCGTCCATTTCCAACACTTCCCTTCCTTTCCTTGACCTCTCTGTCTCCATTTCGGGGAATAAACTGTCCACTGCCATCCACTACAAAGACAGTGACCCCCACAGCTACCTTCACTGCACTCAGCCCCACAGCTACCTTCACTG